AATTATAGTGTCAAATGTGAACCAAATATTGACAGACCTTAAGGACCAATAATATACTTCCCTTAACCATAAAAAAAGAGAGCTTTAATTATAGTATAAAACACTAAGATAAACCAAATACTGACCTACTGTTGACTTACAGTAAATCTACTGACTGGAACAACTTTACTTCTGCTAACAATAGAACTGTATTCAACAGTACTGTAAAGTTAACCAGCTACGTAGAGATTCATAAAGATTAGCACTCATACTAGTGAAGTCAGTGGAATTAAAGAACCTAGAGAATGAAAAAAGCAGAGCCTGAGAAATTAATCCATGGAATATATGAGATATGAGAAAGAAAAGAGAAAAGTTAGGTAGGGGTGCTTACTGAAGAGTAGAAAGAATTAACAATGTTAGAGAGCAGTCACGGGAATGAACCAGAAAGAGAAGGAAAAAGATGAACAGAGAGCCAAATACAGAAATAAAGATGAGAAGTACAAGAAAGGGGGAGGAGAGGAAAAAGAAAAATAGAAAGGGAACTAAAAGAGGGATGAAAAAAACCCCAAACTCAAACAAAAAGAAAAAAAAAAACTGATGAAGGAAAAAAAGTAATAATTTTTTAAAAAGCTGGGTGTGGTGGTACACACCTGTACTCCCAGCACGCAGGAGACTGAGACAGGAGGATCGCTGTGAGTTCAGCTCACTATGGGCTACCTAGTGAGTTTAAGACCAGCCTGAACTACATAGCAAGACTCTGTCTCAAAAAACCAAAATAGGTAGGTAAGTAGATTAATTGATTAAAAAATGATAATAATAAAATAAAAAATCTGAGTCAAGGAAAAACTTCCTGGGATTTTGAATGAATATTTTCTTGCCAAGGTCTGTAGTCTTGGGATCTATAGCCAATCAAAATTTTAGGGCCTATGGATTTTTGAAGTGCTCTCCCTGTACTAGAGGACCCCATACTCACCCCAGGGTATGGTTACCCTCCAAGCCAAGACATGTTGTTCCCTTTGGTAAATGGGAACCGCCGTCAGCCCTCTGGTCTCTGATGGATGTAGGCTGTGGAGCAGGGCTTCAAGTGGACTGTGGAACTTAATGAATGCCAGCGATCACAGGGTCTGATAACCCCCTTCGCTTGCTGGGCATTGTCCTCATTCTGGATCGGGTTGATTGATTAGTCCTTGCCTCTGCTGCCCTGTGCCAAGAGAAGCAGAATGTAGGGCTAGCTTGGAATTGTTGGATGACCTTGCCCTTGTGTGGGACGGTGGGGAATACTACCCAGTTCTGCTGGCTTATGTCAGGGGAGCAGCACTGCCTGTCCAGAGAGTGCTGATTTGCTTCAGGCAGGGGAGGGTTGCTACTTTTCCAGAATGGGCCTGCTTGGTCACCTGAGAAGGGGGTGTTCATCTAGTGCCAACCAGCTTGCTCAAGTCCAGTTGGGTAAATGTATGTAGTGTAAAACCCATTTCGTACCCAGATACTGCTTCAGGTTACTTTTGGTCATATTCCGGTGCACAAATTGGCAGAACTAGATCTGCCTCAATTTCAGCAAGTGATGGAATCATTAATAAAGTTGTGATTATTTGTTTCACTGTTATTTAAAAAAGTATATTTTCACTTTACCATGAAAGGGCAAGGTAAAGATAATAATTCATGAAGTGCTGTGAAGAAATTTTAAAAACCAAAATTATACATGCTCATAATTTACAATGCAGATGTCCTGCAAGGCTTTTAACCAAGAAAGGCCCCTTGTTTCTCTTCGCACTCCCGCTTCCCCAGTTGACGCTAACTTCCATTCCTTTAGTTGTTTGTTTCCATTTTTCTTAATAATATGCTTTCTCCTCCCTCTGTTTCAGTTTTAGGCAGTAGCTGGAACTGTTCACTTCTTACTGTGGAGACGGTAGCATACCTCCTATGCACTGTATCTCTGCCAGACTCTTTCACATTCATTCTCGAGCTCTCACAGGGTTTGCACTTCCCGTTTTCTTTACTTTTATTAGAATGATTGACTAGATCAATACTTAGCATTACTTCATTTCAGCCACGTAAATATTCACAACCGATTTATACGGCACACTACGATTATGTTCTTTTTTCTTTATCCCTCCCCCATTTTCATTTGTGTGGTTTTTTGCATTCTTAGCCTGTATTCTTCTTGGACACATCCTTGTTTGTGTCACATCTGGGCCTGTTCCACTGCTCACTTCCTCTGATGTCCCCTTATCATTTGGCAGAAATTCCTTTCACCTCATCCTGTGTCTTTTTCTACTTCCGTTGACTGAAATCGTTTTTTAGTGTACCCCTTTGTTTTGATGGAGCACCCTCTGCAGTTGCTTTCTAAGAAGAGGTGCACTGGAAATAAATTTATGTTTGTTTTTTTTGTGTTTTTGTTTTTGTTTTTTTCCAGTACCAGGAATCAAACTCACAACCTTGCGCTTGCCAGGCAGGCGCTGTGCCACTGAGCTAAGTCCCCAGCCCCGGAAATAAATTTATATAACTCAGATATCTTCCTTCTTGGTTGACAGAATGTCACTAGGTATAAAATTAGTTGTAAGTTGGGATCGTTTTAGTTTAGAATTGTGAAAACTGCTCCATTGTCGTTTATCCTGTACTGTTCCGATACTACCTTTGTGACTTGTTTTTGTCATCCTATGGGATCACTTGGAGTCACTTCTGTTTTGAGTGTATTGAAATTTTAGAATAATGTGCTGTAGAATAAATTGTTTAACCAATTTACTGGGCACTTGTAATGGACAGGGTAATTCATGTCCATTGGTACTGGAAACTTTCTTTCTTTCTTTTTTTTTTTTTTTTTTTTTTGGTACCGGGAATGAACTCAGGACCTTGTGCTTGCCAGGCAGGTGCTGTGCCGCTGGGCTACATCCCTGGCCTCTGGAAACTTTCCTGAGTCAGTCCTTCACAATTTCTTTGTTTCCTTTTTCTCTGTACTCTTTCTCCTAAACTTCCATTAGTCAGTGTATGCTTCCTCTATTAGCCCATTAGTTTTTACCTTTTCTCTTCTAATTTCTCATTCTTTATGTGTCCCTCTTCCCCATCCTGGGAAATTCTGGGAGTTCTATCAGACAGCCCTAAGTTTCTGCTTCTCCTATCACATTTTACTGTTAGTCCTGTTTTGTGGTGCACATTTATTTTTTTAACCTTTCATGTGGAAATGGAGTAGGAAACAAATAAGCTTCTTGGAAGTTTCTGAGTGGGGCCTGCTGACCAGTGGCTTCCATGCAGGGTGATCCTCTTGGAGTCTCCCTGACTGTCAGACTCCTCTAGACTTTCTCGTGGGCTTTGGAAACGTGTACAGCTGCCACCTGTTCTGAGATCTGGAGTAAAGAGGGGGTGAGGGGTGTCACTGGAGCCTCCCTGGGCCACTGTCATGTACCCCGCTCAGCTGCACCCAGAATTTCTCTGCTGTGCTGTCTGCAAAAAGTAACGTGGTAAACGGCGTTGGCCAGCTGTCCCCTCTAAAGCTCCCTTCAGTGTCACTTCTGCGGGGATCTTGCTCTTCCTTGTGGAGCAGCACAAAGCCACTTGCTTCTGGGCCTTTGGCTTAGCTCCAACCCTTTCAGAGCTATGAAGTTGTGTGATCATTTGGCTTCCAATTTTGTTGGTTTTGTCTTTTCTCCCCGTGTGAGAAAAGGCGTTTTTTCAATCTGTTGCTGTAACGGCAGTGGAGATTCGGAGGAGCTGAGTGGGTGTTCAGTCCTTCAGTCTCTACTGGAAGACATTTGTCTGTGATGCGTCCCATATCACTTAGCTCATATCACTTACTCTTTCTCCCCTTCTGTTTCCCAAGTTGGAGAATATTCTCTTTCCAGAATCTCAGCTGAGGCTCACTCTGTCTTTGCACTTTGTCACACCCTTCAGTGGTTGTTATACCTAAGTGGACGAAGGGCCCAAATCCTTGAGCATTAGGGGTGGGGTTTCATGGGGTAATCCTGCAAGGATCAGTAGGGCCTGACCACTCCAGTATTCCCTGGTTAAATTCAGCAGTTGCCCACCCATGTCTCCTCTAACGCCAGCCCCATTGGAAGTTCACCCGTGTAGAGACCTGTGACTAGAGCATTTGAACATTAAAACACACCTCATCTCTGTCCTAGTCCCCCACTGACACCTTCTCAGTCTTTACATGAAGACAATATTCAATGTTCCTCCTAAATTCAATGACCAAACTGGGTGTAGTGACACACACCTGTAATCCCAGCGCTCGGGAGGCTCAGGCAGGAGGATCCTTGCGAGTTTGAGGCCAGCCTGAGCTACAAAGTGAGCTCAAGGCAAGCCTGAGCTGCATAATGAGACCCTGTCTCCAAAAATAAACTAAATAAATAAATAAATAAATAAATAAATAAATAAATAAATAAATAAATAAATAAATAAATAAATAAATAAATAAATTCAGTGACTTCACTGTTTAAAGGGTCTCAGAATGGCAGCTGTGTGTGCAGCCACCTCCATGTGTATATCTTGGCTGAGTGTGGCTGGGACTTGTATGCGTAGTCAGACCCACAGGATCGATCTGTGTCTTGCTTGGGCTTGCAGGAGGTCGTCTGCAAGAGGCTCGGAGTCCCATGATCTTAGTGAAGGAGGAGATGAAAAGAAGAAGCGAGATTCTCGGAAAAGCGGCTTTCTCAATTTAATCAAATCCCGGTCCAAGTCTGAGCGCCCCCCGACGGTCCTGATGACAGAAGAGCCCTCCTCCCCAAAAGGGGCCATCAGAAGTTCAGCTGTAGACACCCCCAGGAAGGAGCCAAAGGCCACGGAGCACAATGGGAATTCAGACCGCACGGAGGAGCTGAGGACACCCGACTCCCTTGAAGAGAGCCCGGGCGAGGAAGCAGGACGTGTGGAGCGTGGGGACAGCAGGAGCAGCCCACAGGCGGGGCGCAGGTACGGCGTCCAGGTGATGGGCAGCAGCCTGCTGGCCGAGATGAAAGCCAAGCAGGAGTGGAGAGCTGCCTGCGCCCAGAAGGTAAGAGCCATTCCACCCTCCTGTGTGCATGTCAGTCGCCGCTTGTTTTTTGTGGGAGACAGAAGTACTGAAAAAGAACCCGTTAGCTAAAGAAAGATCTGAGAACAAACGATTTATCCCAAAGGAGCCCAGGGCAAGACCATGAAGGCAGGCATGGCCATTTTCACTTCAGTCCTGTGTTCATTCTTGAGGGGAGAAGAGTGCAGGCTGGGTGGGAGGGAGCTTGCTGGCCTTGGGCTCCTAGCCTTTCCCAGGGGCCCAGGGCCTTCCTGTGCCTGTCATGAGATTTGCGTCAGCCATTCCAGGTCTGCCGCATCTTGGGCACAGTGAGCCTGCTGCTGGGCCCCTGAGGGCCCTCAGAGGGAGGGGAACTGACAGGCAAATAAAAACACTGGAACCAGAATACAGTTATGTGAAGGCAGAACCTGGTCTCCAGTCCCTTCATAAACTATCCCTCTTCCAAACCTCAAAGCTCTTTTCCATATCCCAGATTTAAATAATCCAAGAAAAAGTCAAGGATCCTGTCAGAGTGGATTGAATATTTCCCCGACTGTTGACACATACTTATTCCTATAAAGAAAAATCCACAAAATTTCAGAATTTTTGAGTCCTCCCAGATGTGACTTCTAAAGCATTATTTATTGTTTCAGCCTTTATTCATTTATTTATTTCTCAGACAAGGTCTTGCTGTGTAGTTTAGGTTGGCCTAAACTGTGGACTCACTATGTAGTCCCAGCTGGCCTCAAACTTGCAGCAATCCTCCTGCCTCAGCCTCCCAAATGCTGGGATTATAGGTGTGCACCCTCACGCCCAGCTGAGCCTCTTTTTAAAGTGTTGTTAGTGTCTTTTTTCTTCCCTTTCACTGATTTTATTCAATAGCTACTGAAAGGAATGTGTCTTTGTTACAACCATTAAGAGAAATATGCCTGTGTTTCACTCTGGTTTTAGTTTCTCCGCATTATCCTGAGTGATTTTTACGTTTACAAAATTGGTTTCCCCAAAGAAAGAAAAAGGGAACATCTGTTTTATTTGAAGTATCAGAAGAAAATTCTCTCCAGTGAGCCCTAGACTTTCAGAGAATAATGGTAAACTACATGCGAGATATAGAGGGCTCTTTTATGTCACTTTTAAACAACTCTTTTTCATTAAATCCTACATCTCATAGGAGATCACAGCTGTTCCCCATGGTTTCCCACCAGCACCACCACTAGCAGTTGCCTAATTCCTGGTCCTTTCTAGCTCACTCTCCAGGCCTTAGAAAGAGGGGTTGGGAGGGAGACCATGTAACTATATCCTGCTAGTTAGTTCTATAAAGGAGGCATAACATGACCTTCACTGGTCAGAAAAATGAGTAAGTACTACAGCTGCATCTTTAGTGAGTCAGATGTCCAAATGTTTACATTTTAATCCATTTTATACATTTCTTTTTAACAGTGAATGTACTTTTTTCACTAATGAGCTGTTCATTTTGTCACTGTTTCCAGTGATGAACAGCTGCTTTTTAGTGGAAAGATGAGAAATTTTGGAGTGTTTTCCATGTGTCTTGGATTGATAGATTAATTGACTCAAAGTGACAAAATCCTTATGGTTTATATATTTGTGTTTGTCAGAGACAGTATACGGATACTCCCATAGCGCCATCTAGTGTCAAAATAGGCAACCATCATCACTTGAAAATTTTTAACTAAAATTCAGACCAGTCATGGGTATTCTGTCAGAATTTTTTTTAAAAAGATTGCAAAAATTAGCTTTAGCGCCAGGCGTGGTGGCACACACCTGTAACCCCAGCACTTGGGAGGCTGAGGCAGGAGGATTGTTGTGAGTTTGAGACCAGCCTGGGCTACAAAGTGAACTCAAGGCCAGCCTGAACTGCATAGCGAGACCCTGTCTCAAAAAAAAAAAAATTAGTTTTAGAGGGGCTGGTGATATAGCTCAGCAACACAAGTGCCTGCCTGGCAAGTGCAAGGTCCTGAGTTCAAGTCCCAGTACCAAAAAAAGAGAGACGCAAACAAAAAACTTAGCTTTAGAATATTTTCCCCTAAAATGCCATGGCTGTCTTTACAAAGATAGCAGTGCAAACATCCATAGTCAGTGCATTGTGAGGAAAATAAATGGTGTCTTTACCTTCCCTGCAGAATTCTTTTTACATGAATGGCATTTAATACATGCATTTAAGGAGAAAGAGTGGTAAACACAAAGATAGGTCATTTATCACTTATAAGCAGAGGGGCATAGCAAGTTGTGAAGGCCAAGAGGTTGTATCTTTTCTTCTGAGAGCCACCAAGTCAGCTACTTGCCTACAAAAACAAGCAGCACTGCCTTGTTTTATCCTGGTTTTGCACATTTTGGGGATATATACCTAGCTCAGGAAACCTGGGAGAAAAAAAGAGAAAACAATTTAAATTGCAGGCAAGAGAAGTTCTGAGTGGGAAGCATAAGGAGGTCCTCACCTGAGTTGCTGGGAGTGCCCTTGAAAGAGCCTGGAAGGGGGAGGTCCCCAGGGGGACTTGGAGGCTGGCAGACATTTGTTCTGGGCACAGAGCAGAACAAGTCCTTCCTAGGGTCACGTGGCCCTTATCACTGTGGGGCTCAATGCACACTTCTCCCAGACACACTCACTGCCTCTAGGGAGAGTGGAGCTTTTGTTTGTCTCGATGAAATCCCTCAGCATCCCTGGCACTCCCTCAGATGGACCAAGCTGGCACTTCGGGGTTTGTGAGTGCCGCGAGCAGACGAGAGCTCAGCCATATCCATTAACCCCTCCTGTGTTACCCAGACTAGTTTAAAGCTGGAACTGGGAGCACATGATTGTTTTTGGGTTTGTCAAAGGAAGGAACAGGCTGCCTGGGGAGCCATCCTGCCTCCTGCTCTACCTGCCCACTGTGGGTTTTTTTGTTTTTTTTGGGTGTTTTTGGCTTTTTTCCGGTTCCGGGAATCGAACTCACGACCTTGCGCTTAGCAGGCAGGCGCTGTGCGGCTGAGCTAAATCCCCAGCCCCTGCCCGCTGTGTTTTTGATTCTTAGACCAGAGGTAGGTGTAGGTTGTTTTGGTCAGTAGAATTTACAGAGGTTCTTAATCAAATTCTGGGCTGTATATTTTATGCCCTTTTTGCGCTGCTCTAATGCAGATTTAACACATTGTAAGGGGAAGGGCTGATTTCCGCCTTGTCAGCTTCAGCTACTTCCTTTCGCCAGTGGCACTTAACTTGCCCTGCCTTGGTCATCACCTCCTCCCGTTTGTAAAAATTAATCGAGACCTGAGGTAGACTCTGTGGTAGAGTGCTTACCTAGCATGAGCAAGACCCTGCATTCCTCCTTAACAAAAACAAAAATTGCAGCTCATCCATCTGTACCTTCCCTGCAAGCGCACATCTGCGCCCTGTGGCTTGACCTCCAGAGCAGCAAAGACTCTGCTCGTTTTAGGCCCCCTTTTGCCTACAAAGTTTGTTGAATTTGAAAAGGGTTGCCCTGCTTTTAAAACTAAAAATTTTTGTAGAGCAGGTATGGGTAGGGTCCTGTAAATTTGTAGGGTATGAGTGTTCCTTCACATCGAGCGTTGGGGCTACCGGCCTCATAGGTGTTGGACGTGAAAGATAAGTGTCACTGAGCCACCAGCTTCCCCTGGCCCACAGGTCTCTCACCTGGGGGATCCCCAAAACCGAGAGAGCAAATATGGAACCAAATGTGTTTTATGTGGCTGTGTTCCAGCAGTAAAGGCCCAGAGACATAAATAAGTCAGACAGGCCATTCTTTGTCGTCTCTTACTTTCCTACTCTCCACGCACACCTTTTACCCACTATTAACTTACACTTGGGGGGGGGCTTGAATTTTTTAGAAGCTTGGGAATGATGCCATGTCCCAGGATTATGCAAGCCCGGTGCTGAGCAGCATGGAACGCCTGGATGGAGCTGGAGCAGGTAAGCCAGGCCAGGCTGTTGCCCTTGAGGAAAATTGCTTCTGGCTTCAGCAGTCACCTGTGATTGACAAAAGTGAAATAAAAACAGGCAGCTGAGGGAAGTCCCCTGTTCTGTGTATTCCCAGCTGTCACCTGGGAGAGCCAAGTCTCCTCCCTGATTGCTCCCCGCATAGGCAGGTCTTCCATGATTAAAGCTTTGTGCACAGAACTCCTAAACTGTGAGCATTTGGTGGGGGCAGTGGAACCTGGTTAATGGCATGTGGAAGGTGAGTGGCTATTTTGATATCAGGGAATAGTCTTCCTCACAACTTGAATATGCCTGAAATCCAATACTCTTCACTCCTCTGACTACTTAGGTGGAATAAGGGTAAGATACCTTAGTTGGAGACTGGGGAAAAACTTGTAAATTGCATGTTAGGGTCCTGGTTTTGTAGTTGGATGCTCTTCCGACTTTCTGTAGTACCTTTAAGTAGTAAGAGTTGAACTATAAATTGCATGTAATCAGCTTATGTTTGCCAGTAGGCTGGGTAAATAACAGTGTGGATGGAGATGCAGAAGGGGAGGACATTTCTGGAGAGCTCTTCTCACCACCGTACATGAGCTGTGGCCATCAGCGTAACCCTGCTCAATCAGAGCCTGTAGCCAGAGCCCTGCCTGCTGGTTGTCTAGAACGGAGGAGCTTCTAGTTGGCTATACCAGAACTCAGGAAGATCTCTTTGAAGGGTACATTAAGAACTGCTTGTCAGGCTGGGTGTGGTGGCTCACACCTGTAATCCCAGCGCTCGGGAGACAGGCAGGAGGATTGCTGCGAGTTCGAAGCCAGCCTTGGCTACACAGTGAGTTCAAGACCAGCCTGAACTGCATAAAGAAACCCTGTCTCAAAAAGACCAAAAAAAAAAAAGACTACATGTCTCTTTGTACAAGATTGCAGAGCTGCCCACTGCAAAATATAAAACTTGCCATTTCTGGAATAGTCAGAGATGATCAGAAAAGCCCTATCAAGCTCATTATTTTTCTGTGAAGAATTTTAGTATTTTAACAGCATGTTTTGGTTTTTCTCCAGTACCGGGAACCGAACTCACAACCTTGCACTTGCCAGGCAGGCGCTTTTGCCACTGAGCTAAATCCCCAGCCCCTAACAGCATGTTTTGGATCTAAAATATCTACAATGAAAAATGACAGTAATGTTTGATCGGTTTGCACCAGACTTCCATCTTCAAATTATTGCTTTCTTTGACTTTGGATTTTCAAGTTTGCTTTTTGTGCCATGTTGTGTTTCAGTGCCTAGACCGCACCCAGGCCTTCCAGAGAACCGCTTTGCTTTGGGGACTCCAGAGAAGAATGCCAAAGCAGAGCCCAAAGCGGAAGTGAGCTCGAGATCTCGCAGCTCTTCCTGCACGCCAACCAGCCCGAAGCCCCTCCTGCAGTCCCCCAAGCCCACCCTGGCAGCACGGCCCACCATCCCGCAGAAACCAAGAACTGCCTCCCGGCCTGGTAAGATTTTGCCTGGCCTCGGAGCCACACCGAGGCCAGGCAACCTGTCAAGGTCGGTGGATCCCTGGGCAGTTTCCATGGCTACTACTGGACAGTGTATAGGAGCTCCTGTGGGTATTTCCCAAGAAATCCACAGGAAGCGGCCAAAGGGGCAAGGGCTGGATGACTTGCTTCCTTTGTTCAGCGCCATGGCTCATATGTGTGGTGGTGAGGACCCCAAGACTGTCCTTGTTTTCAAGGCTACAGGTTGGTTGGTAGGCGAGACAGGAAGGGCCTGAGTTTCGTCTCCATGTGTGATGCAGTGTTCTGAAATCTGTCTCCTGGGTTTAGGTCCTTGTAAAGGCTGAGGTGAAAGAATGAAAGTCAGCGGGCCTAGAATATAGCTCAGTGGTGCAGCGCCTGCCTGGCAAGTGTGAGGTCATGAGTTCAATTCCTGGTACCAAAAAGAAGAAGAATGAAAGCCACCAGAGAGGAAAGCACCAGCCCTTGTTGTCACACCTTATTCTGTGACATATTAAGGATCTAGAGCAGGATTTGGCAAACTATGGGCCAGTTTTTAAAACATAACGTTTTACTGGCCAGAGCCACACCGTCTGTATTGGTTTTATCTGTGGCTATCTTTGCAGACAGTAGCTGGGCATAGTAGCGGTGGCAGCACCACGGAGTCTGCAAAACCTAAGATGTTGATTCTCTGGCCATTTACCAAGAAATCTTCTGATTATTAATTTAGAAAATCTAATGATAGAAGAAACTTTAGAAATATTAGAAACAGATTAGGCTCTGCCTTATTCTCTTCCATAAAAAGTCTGCCTCACATCTTTCTTTGATAGCTTTGAGGTGTAAGATTTTTCATACATAAGAAAGGAAAGTTGAATGGGTGTAACAATGAATCCCTCTTCCCTTCTGCCTACAAAGATTAGGCAAGTGGGGTATGTATAGTCAGATCATCCCTGTCCTCGTCATCATCGTGGCCCCTCTTACCTGCGGCCTTAGTCCTGCCAGGCACGGTGCTCAGCTCTGTATGTGGACAAACTCCCGGGATGCTCATTGCGGCTGCATTTCACATGGAGGAGTGAGAGGCACAGAGTGATGCTAAGTCTGCTCTCCCCACACCTGGCGAAAAGCAGTGCAGCGCTGTGATGCCTCCAACCGGCACTGGGAGACAGTCTCCTGCTGACCTCCCCCGTGGGCACCGAGGGTAAAGTAGGATGCAGAGCCCACTATAATAAGTCACTATGCAGAAGAGTTGGGTAGAGTAGCAAGAAAAGCCAAACCTGAGTGCCCAAACTGGTAGATTTTTCTCATTTTATGTTGTACATTCAATTCATTCCTTGTACAGCCAACCTGATTGGTGTTCATCAAGTTCTTGGGAAACCCGGTATACAGTCATGTAAGAGAAGCCATGAAGAGAGAACTTTGAAAAACTGACCGTTAAGAATGCCTCATCCTACTGCAGATCACTTCGGGACTCTTGGTCTACTGCAACTTTTTCATAAACAAGTGCTTTTAGGATGGGAAATACAAGCCATTCCTACTGCATGCAAGATACCTTCATCATAGAATGAGTAGGGAGAATAGAGGCAAAGAAAATCTTTAGAAAAACATTTTATAAGAAAAACAAAAACTTCTCAGAAGGCAGCTTGGCCCTGAGATTCTTTTATCAGCCAGTTGTGCCTCTAGTCCAAAGTAAGGAAACAACTCTTGTAAAATGAATCTAATCCCATTTGTAGAGTATTTCAACTCCCCAGTTGTAAATGCTAAATATGAAACCAGGAGGAGTCCAATATTCTGTCCTAAGAACCTTTAATTTTCAGTTTGCTTACCAAATGCAGCAGTGCCATGTAGTCTCACAGTACTTAGTATTTTGAGAGTTGTATGAAGAAGCAGTTGCCTTTGCAGAGCTTGAGAATTGAGCAAACGTTTTCGAATCACCTTCTTGTTTCTCCTCTGCCAGTGTTCTGAGAGGTGGTCAGGGTCCCAATGTCTTGTTGCATCTCTGCTTTTTCAGGAAGCAAGTAGGTGACTTGAATTCAACAAACAAGAATGAAGAGACCCGGATGTGTGCTGTGTTCTACACACACGTGTGCACACACCCACGCTGACTGGAGACTTACCACGCTGACAGAACAGAGAAAGGAGCATAGTTCACTAACACTTTGCAGTTAGAGTGAAGCAGCACAGGCTGTAGGATTAAGAAGCTGGAATTCTAATCCTAGCTCTCTTGCCATCTTGTTAGCTTAGCACATCATTTAATGTTTTCATTTTTCTGGTAACCAAAGTCCTTTGTGATTCAAAAAAATCTATGATTCCGAATTATTCCTAGGGACCCTTCAGTGTGTGTATGTAGGTACATGAGCACATGTATGTTCGCATGTATGTTGTGATACTGCTCTAGATTTGGCAAGGTAAAGGCAGTTTGTCACACACTGACAATGGGTCATACTTGTGACAACTAAGAGCATGGTGTTTGAGGGAGAAGAAACATCTGGTTCACCTGCTTTCCAAATATCAACCCATAGGGGCTAGGGATTTAGCTCAGCAGCACAGCACCTGCCTGGCAAGTGCAAGGTCGTCAGTTTGATTCCTGGTACCAGGAATAAAAAAACAAACAAATATCAACCCATTGAAGTGCTCTCTCTGCAGTATAGATTCACATCTGTGCCAATTTTAGCCTTTTATTTTGGCATTCATCATCCTTTGATTTTCTTGTTTGTGGCTGATTCTTGACTAACCAGGAACACAAAAGTACTTACTGGCCAAAAAATTTTGTTTTTTCTTTCTTTGAGTCACCTATATGTAAAGATTTACATGCTGATGTCTTGTGTGCTTCGAATCAGGTTTGTGAAAGAGTTTGATTGCTGTGTTTGTCTCTCTGTAGAGGATGTCCCAGACTCTCCATCTGGCCCTAGCTCTCCTAAAGTTGCTCTGCTTCCTCCTGTCCTGAAAAAAGTTCCCTCAGACAAGGAGAGGGATGGGCAGAGTAGCCCCCAGCCCAGCCCCAGGACATATTCCCAGGAAGGTAAGCCTGTTTTTCTCTGGGACTACCCTTCCCCTAAAGAGGTTCATTTCAAAAGGAAAAATTTACGGTGGATTTAACCCCTATCTTGCCTTCAGGACATCATCCCTTGGATTAAATGTTGAGAACCAGAGTAATGTGTTAGCTTAGAAACCCAGGGTAGCATTAGTGATGACATTGGGCTTGAAAGAAGACTGAGCTTCCCAGCTGAAAGGCCTGAAGTCACTGGGTGCTCCTGAACCGGCTCCCAGCATGTGAGGAATTCCTTAAACAGGATTCGTGCCCTGCCTGGCGCTGCCTATAGATTTCTAGGTCCGTGCTTTCTCTGGTTGGTATCAGTGCCCATTGCCAAGGTTCTAGAAGGAGAACACAGAGGGCCACAGAGGCTTTGTAGCCCATCGTGCCTATTCAGTGATGAGTCACATAAATCTCGTCCTTGGGAGTGTGACACCTGTGTGACTGGCTCCCAAGGAGTCGCTGCACCATTGGTTTGTATGCTGTGACTGATTACTTACACCCATCAGATTAAGTTGCCAGCTGTTATTGGAGGCGAAGGCACCGGTTTCTGTCATTCACCTTGCCCATTAAGTTGCATTTTGCTTTCTGTCCTATGTAAAGTATAATATGAATGCTGTTTCTAAGCCCCGCCTGTACCTGTAAAGAAATTTTGGAGTCACACAAGCCGTCACCTATGTCCAGGTGACTCTCATTGTGATTTGGAGTCGCCGTGTTTTATTTTAGATTTGTTTGCACTGAAATCCTTTGATCTCTAGCTCTGACATTGTCTACTTGGTCTTTTTTCTATTTTCTTTTATTGGTAGTAGTCTTGGGTTGAAATTAATAGAAGGTTTTGCTGAATATGTCTTTGTGGCTTGGGAATCTCATCAAAAACAACAACAGTGAAAACACTGTGTGCTTTCTGCATTCTGCAGATTTATTTGGTGAGGAGAAATCTCACTGACCTGTTGGCTATAAATTTTAAAAAGGGTTTTAACTGAAGCTGGAACACTTTGGTCAAATAGAGAAACTAAAGCCACAAAAGGTGGTTTATATCTGTAGTCCTTTCACACAGCATAAATAAATAGGGTTTCTTATTCAGCTAAAGTCTTTAGACTATTTGGTGTAAAAGGAAGAGCCTTCAGTGGTGCTGGTTCAAGCTGACCTGATCTACTAATCGCCCCTTGGCCGCTGGGTTCTCACCACATATCCCCTCTCCCATGCCTGGCTTCCTCACCCTCCTTTCCGCACTTGCTGACCTTACATCCTCTCTTTTAAGGAAGCTTTGGCAGTGCTTTTGGGGATTTGGTTGGGGAGACATGGGAAAGGGGTCGTAGTGGGAACTAGAAATGTTCATCTTATTAAAAGCAGTGGCAGTAATGAAGGATTTTTTTTAAGTCAGGAGATTCAGTAAAGAAATCATTGATACAATCCTAAATATCATTTAGGATGATAAAACAAGGCCTACAGAAGCCACCTGCGTCCCAGCCTCATGAGTAATGTTCTGTGTATTACAGAACCTTTCTAGTCAACCAAGTGGCTGACAGCGAGATGCCACTAGCAGACTTTTAGCTGCCGTGACAGAATTACATGTTCTGAGAAAGTTAGAGGTTGAGTTGTTCCTCAAACATGTAAGAATTTCCTTATTCCTCCCAAGAGCGAACGTTAGGCATGGTTCATGCACCCATCTTTGCAGTGGGGTGGTTGGGACTGCATAGCTATGGAGACCATACTTTCCCACATGGGATCCAGAATAAGCTGATAGCAAAATGTTATGCCAGTGGTATTACGTCGTGTTGAAGTTGGCCCGGAAATACACATGCGGTCTGAGAAAAGCTTGGGAACGTCTGGGTGGTGAGATTTTTATCTTTAGCTTATTCCTTATCTCATCTACTAAGGTGGCCCGGGAATGGCAGTCACTCGGGATCCTGTCGTTTTCCTAAGAAACTGTTCCTGTTGTGTTCGTTCCTATTTTCTTGTATATTATTCATGCTGGTTACTTCGTTTCCTTGTTCTGTGCCTCCCTTTGGACTAGCGTGCCCAACTAATTTCTGAAACAGGTAAATTACTGTGATTCTTCTGGATTATTCCATAGTGAATGTGATTTTTGTTAATCCATCATGGAATCAAAATGGTAATACCGGGGCCTTTTTGTCAGTACCTTTTTGGGGCAGACTCAGAGCTCACCTCATTTTGCACGACATTTCCATAATGTTGGCTGTTGAATTCTGTAGAGAATGGTATATCTGCCCAGCACCAACTCTCTAAGTTCCTTGAATCCTGAGTCGGGTGGGTGAGCTGATACTGAATTTTTCATATTAATATTTTTATATTGATGTCAACACCTTGATGTATTTGAACTATAAAGGGTAAAATGAATCCCTTTTCCTCAGTAGTGCAAAGAGGAGATTATTACAAAAGACATTCAGATCATGACAGTGGCAAGCCTTCCAGTAGAGGGAAAAGATCTTCAAAACTGTCCTCCATCATTGCAGAAGAGGAAGTGAATGCAATTGGGCACAGGAGGTCACAGCCAACAAATGGTTAGAGCCTTCGATTCTCATCCCTCGCTGACCTGGAGCTTATGAACTGGCACTAACAAAAGCAAGCTGTAGTGGAGTAATTGTACTGTGGGACTGGGCCGGGGGTCAGTCAGACAACAGAGTTTTTATTCATTCTAAATAGCAACAGGATGGTCCTAATGTTTGAGGCAAAATATATCGACTCAGCAGTCTAAACGTAGATATTCGTATGAGAAGGATCAAGTTACCTGGGTGACTTGTCCATGAAAATTTCATTATTTTTATATTTGGGGTCATTTCTCCTGTTCATTTCCTCTTGTATCTTGTCTGTCACCTTCCAGCTGGGGTTGAATCTGAAATTTGCAGAGTAACAGAGTTTATCCCCTTAGAGAATATTGGCCTGATACCTTCCACTCTTTTCGAAAAAGGTCAATAAAAAGCCACCAATGAAATGTAGACCTGGGGTCATGCACATGGTCTTTCATTGGACATTTTATGACCCTTTAGTGAGAAAGAAAAGATACCAGTTAACTTTTTAACCCTGAGGAGCAATTTATTCTCTTCTCCAGCAGTTACTCTTAGGCCATTTCTGTCTTCTATTCCACCCTACACTGGATTCTGTAAGGTGAATACAGTCCCAGCAGACAAAAAGGACACAGACTCTAACTCAGTTTGAACCTCCACTGGGGAATTTTAGAATAGGCTTTGCCAACTCTAAGAAGAGATGTCTTTTCTGTGATTAAAGTACTCCTCATTTCCCTAATTAGTAGCTTTTCACAAATATGATTTGAAGCTGGTCATGGTGGTGCTTGCCTGTATTCCCAGCACTCTGGGGGGCTGAGGCAGGAGGATTGCAAGCCTAGCCTGGCCAATTTAGCAAGACACTATCTTAAACATAGATAGATAGATAGATAGATAGATAGATAGATACATACATACATACATACATAGATACATAGATAGATACATAGATAGATACATAGATAGATGGATAGATAGATGGGCTGGACATTTAGCTCATTGCTAAGGCTCTGGGTTCAATTCTCAGTACAACACAGACACAAACACACACTGACACACCCGCATATGCAAATGCACACACAACTTGAAAAATCACTTAAGGGAACTTATTGCATCATAAAAGGAGAATATATAAAATATCCTGATTTGTGAGATTTCCCTAGAGGACTTCTCTCCTTGGAATGATGCTTTTTTTCTTCCTGTAAAAATTTATCAGGGGTTACTGTATAACTGTGCTTGGGATCCCAGGGATCAAGCCCACGGCCCAGCATTGTGGTATAACTCTGTGCGCTTTGCCTCTGCCTCAGGAAGCATTTGAGGACACAGTTAAGGAGAGTGACCTTATGACAGGAACAACTTATTTCTATTGTAGAAGGGTGGACCATGTGCAAATGCTCAAATGTGAACACTGTATTGTGCTTGATAAACCTCATGTGTCCACTCCATGTGGACTCATGTGGACCACTCCATGTGGACCTCATGTGTTGACTCCAGTGGGAAATTTAAAGCTGTACACTAGTGAATTGGGCCTGGGACACTGCAAATGAGACCCGCTGTCTCTGTAAGAGTGTAGTCCTCGATACAGACTTTAAAAGCAAAGCAATGTCTCCCAGCTCATCACCAGGAACCTCATTTCTGAAGCGGCCCCTTTGGGAGAGCCTGGAGCTCTGATGCATACTAGTTAGAGGACAGAGTAGAGATTAAGATGCCACCTGTAGCAGAAAGAAAAGACACTTAAGTCATGTAAGGGTAGGACAAATAGAATATTCTCTTCGGGCCAGGTAGCACCTACCCTAGACCAGTTGAATTGGCCCTTCACTTTTTTTTCTTTTTGTGGTGCTGGAAGATGGAAACCAGAACCTTGCACAGACAAAGCGGGGCACTACCGTTGGGCTGCATCCCAGCCCCATCATTCACTTTTAAAGGATTTCCTGTGTGGAAAAATAAGGATTTCCTTATTTTTCTAAAGAGTGCTAGAGTTATTTTTGAGGATATATTAAGTCAAAATCTCTGTCCCTGTATTGCTCTTTTGTTAAAGACATCTGAGGTTGCGTAGCTATTTCTAGAACCTGGAAATTTACCCTTGCGCTATTATATTCCTTGACTGAAGTCACTTATTAACAAGGCATCCTTGATACAATGATCTTCCAGAGCCACTAAAAGCACTTTATACAACAGAAAGAATTCACCCCCGGTACTACATGAATCACGCAGTGAGGCATTGAGTTAGCGTGAAGAGGGTGAGTGTGGAGATAGCCAAATCATCCAAAGGCCAGGGGGAGACATTCTGTTTCTGTCCTTGTTCCATGACCTCATCAGCTTAAAATTCTCCTTGTGATGGATTACATCAGATTTTGATGGAATTAAATAGGACCATCTTGTATGAGCTTCGCTTCCTTGATTTCTTGAAATAGGTACCCAAAAGCAATTTTTTCCAGTGCTTTAATTAAAGTAATTTTATATCTAATATCATTATTTTGTTTTGTTAGTGCCGATTCTTAGCACTTGACTGTCTTCGCCTTTGAGAACTGCATAGCAGTCTGCTTTCTGAATGGTTCCTGGCTAAAACAAGCAACATTTACTAGACCAATGCATGGTGTGTACTTTCCTGTAAGTCTTGTAAGAGCAGCTTTGCAAACACTAAAGCAATTGAATTTCCTAAATCATGTATTTCTGAAACAAACAGAGGCTATTGTTCTCAAAGCATGCTGCATATTCCTTATCATGATTATGTTTTAATTGTGTGGCTGTTCCAATATTAATTTGACAGGTAAAATGTTTACTCTTGTACTGGAAATGTTTGTAACTGCATCTTTTGAATTTCATATCATTTCCTCTCTGCATTTAATTCTAAGCTGTGATATTTTTAGACCTCACTGACATATATCCTATTTTCTTGAAGAAAGTAGTTGTTTTTGCTTGGCCTTGCATGTGTTGTAATGGATCCTGCTTGTACAGCATATCTGATGCTGAGGTTCCTTTACATATCTCTTGCTTCTTCAATACTCCAGCATGCAGCCAAAAATGTTTGGCTGTGACTTATAGGATATAAGCTAGAGCTCTGTTCTGCATTTTCCCACCAAACCCAGGTTCTACTTTCCTTATATAAAGCCTTAAGAGAAATTTAGCAGTTGGCTGGCATTTTGGACCCTTCCTAGATAAGAATAAAAAAATCAGAGCCAACTACCAAATATGATTTTAAGGTCACCATTTTTCCTTCCTGAAAATGCAGATGTCAGTAGAGCTTACAGTGGGAAAAATCTCAAATTTTTATGTGAATCTCTGACTCTGGGTTTATAAGCATATTTCAGAAGGTTTTAAATTAGCAGATATATATTTGCATATATGCATATGCAAAATCAAATCATCTTCAAGAGCAACAGACTTCATGTTTAAGCCTCTCTATGACAGTTATTGCCACTATAGACAGGATGTGAATATATATGCAAGGGTTTGTGCTGCATAAATTATCCTCTCATTTACTTGAGTGTCTTTTACCAATTATTAGTACACAAAAAGGGAGTAAATACACGTAAGTAGCCATATACAGAGAGGCTTCAGCATTCTTAATTGTACAAATACACTGAAAAGTCCAATTTATGCTTTACCCTTTATAAAATCAAGTATTATATCAAGCTACTTAGGAGGAGGCCTTTCTAAATTAGTAAAAACCTTGAATTTTGTAAATGTGTTTCAAATGAATTCCCTAGATTTAGGTTTCAAGCAGACAGATTCTACTTAGACCATCCTTTAATGGAAGCCTGACCAAACCTACTTCAATATAATTGTAATTAGAATCTTAATTATATGCAATCAAATAGATGCTCCCTAAAGACTGGAAAACAAACTTGACAGAGAACATTTCTCCTCCAAAGCTGTTGGTGCTAGGGTTCTGGGCTGATCCCGCTGCAGGCAGGGAGACAGTGCTCTGGTTTCCAAACTCACCGCATTAGTTGTGTTGCTAGTTCCTTCATCCCTCTGCCTAAGCGCCCCAGTCTGAATACCTAGTGTCTCTCTACAGTACTAAGGATGTGTCAGCCTGGACCTAGGATAGCTCTCACAGACATTCACAGTGGGGAGAGTTAATGAACGAAGGTGAATTTACATAGGATGGCCCCCTCCGCTGCATGCTAAGAATGGAAAGCAATGTGTAGCACATGCTAAGAAAGTGCTTTCAACTGAGCTACAGTGGCAGGCCTAGAACGAGTTTTTAAGTAGTGTTGCTACCTTAGTGAAATGCTTTGACAGCTGTCCTGAAATAATGTGGTTTTTTTCCTCACAGTAACTGTGCTGCTGCCATTTTTGCTTGTGTGACTAGCAGTAACTCTGTGTCACCACCCCCAAAGCCTGCATATTAACTTGGCAATCTTGGCTCTTCCCTCTTCGCTTCCTACCCTGCTGTTGTCCAAAAGCCCTGGAGGACTCTGAGACCTTGTGTCAGGGACTTGAAAGAATCAGTGGAGACTAAAGGACGGTGCCCTTTGCTGAAGATTCCTATGCTGTATTTCTCTAAGTTTCAGCCATGCTTGCTGTCATGACCCTAGTAATCTGCATTTTTATCCATGGCATAAACATTTTGAGCTACGTAAAACTTCTCTATTTTTAGAAGGTACTTTTTTTGTTTGTTTGTTTTTCCGGTACCGGGGATCGAACTCACAACCTTGCACTTACCGGGTAGGTGCTGTGCTCCTGAGCTAAATCCCCCTTAAAAAGTACCTTTATGTCACGTTGTATAACATAAATTAAACCTGCAATTTCCAAGAATCTAAAATACTGGGCAGGGGGAAAAGCTTATTATTTTGACCTAGGGATTAAAACAAACACATTTACCCTGGAGACAAATAAGCAATATAGGATTGTTATTTCTTCTTTTGAACCTGTAGTGTTGTAAGCTTATTTTGAATCATTTGATATAGAGAAATACTTTACTTCGGTTTAAAATAGAATGAAAAAAAATTCATAGCAGATCTCACAAGCAGTGCTCTATTTTGAGGTTGGATTTGTTGCAAAGTATTTCAAGACAAAGATATTAGGAAACTTTCCCACATCTCCTTTTTCTCAGTTCAGAGACTGAGAGCTTAAAAAACTTTATATATGAGTCCAGTTGGTTTTGTGGCAAAAGACAAAATATTTATAGATATGCATCTTCTTTCTCCAAATTTGCCTTATTAACTCTAAACCAGTTGCACAGCATATTTAATTTTTTCTCCCAACACAAGCTTAAAAATTTAAAAACCAGTTATAATATTTCTTCCTTGTTTTTTTACCCCGAAGAGAATTTGCCCAAAGATATTGGACCAAAAGAATTTGAAATTTTAAAATTACTAAAAGATGAGAGTTGAGAAAGATTTCTTTTTCTTTTCAGAGTTTTGGGTCATTTCAACAACTGATATATATAACCAGGGCTTTAGTGGTGCACACCTGTAATCCCAGCACTTTAGGAGGCTAAGGTAGAAGAGCTACATTTTCAAAATCCAGCCTGGGCAATTTAGTGATGTAGTGAGACCCTATCTCAAAATCAAAAAATTTTTTTAAAATCTAATTTTTCATTGTCTAGAGACTAGAATTTGGTCCTGACAGCTACATGGGCAAGAGAAGTTCTTTAATATGTTTATGTTTAGTTTTACCTTCCTTTTTTTTTGGTACTGGGAATTGAACTCAGAACCTTGCGCTTGCCAGGCAGGTGCTTTTACCACTGAGCTATATCCCTGACCCTAGTTTTACCTTCCTGAAGTGCTCTTCATCTAAGCAGCCAGCCCCTGTCAGCTTGTAAATGTGCACACAATGCAAAAATCAATGTGATAAAAAGCATCTGATGAACCTGGCAGCTTCCTCAGGACTGAAGTGCTGCATTTCTGGTCAGATCATTTGAGTGTCTGAGTGATGAGGTCGCTGTGCTCTTCTGTCGAGCCACTTGAAGGTGTGGCTTTGATGTTTTCGGCTCAAGTGGCATCTGTACAGTTGCGTGGTGAGTGACATTGCCTTGCTCTTGTAGCTGTGCTGGAGTGCAGCATCCAAGCCTCTCCCAATATACAGGGACAGTGAGGCCACCATCCAGTTGGAAAGAATGTGAGCTCCGGAGGATGGATTGCGTTTACCTCCTGGTTCCATGTTTTGCAAAACTTTCCTTATAGGGTAATTGTGAGGAGTAGCCGTAAGAAGACAGTGTCTAACACACCACTTCCGGCAATGATTCTCCCATGGCTTTGTAAAGTCTCAGTGGATCCTTCACATTTATATGCAGTCAGAACAAGCAGCAACATGGTGACTCCTATTAAATTCATTCTTACCACACTTAGGCATTTATTTCATAAGGAGTGAAAGAATATTCTGTTCTTAAAGATAGAGCTGAGCTTTGCTGAGGCATGGAAAGTCTCAGAGATTCCTAGGGTTTTTCCTGATAGCCTATCCCAATGTAGGGATAACCAAGCTTGAATCCTGGCCAGAGACATCGGTGAGGAACAGAGCATCTGTCAGCCAGCAGCAGCTCTGGCCGCATCTCCTGTCCTCTGTGCTGTAGGAGGAAGCAGCCGTGACAGCAGAGGTGCCTGGTGTGGAGCAGCCTGCAAGCTGTCCTCCTCCTGCTCCTCCTTCTGCCTCCCCTCACCCACCCCTCACCTTGGATTCTCAGCCACATCTATGAGAGGCTCCCCTGTCATAGACTGTGTTTTGTGTGTTTGCTCGTTTTCTGTTTCTTTTGTTGTTGGTTTGTTTTATCTGAACATAGTAGCAAGTTTGTTTCTGAACCACCCCCTCCTCCCCTTTCCCCAGGATCCGCGGCTGGCCAGGCCACTGTCTACCCTTGTCCTGTCAGTTAACAGCATCACTTCTTACCTTGCCATTTCAGTGTCAAGGAGGAGCTGGGGTCAACAGGCCCAGGAGTGTCAAGAGCAAAAGCAACAGTCCTCCAGTAAAGACGGCCTCCAAGGCAACAAATCTAGTGACTCCGGAGAAGAAGCAGAAAAAGAATTTATTTTTGTGTAAAGGTTACCCATGCCAAAGTCTTCCTGCGCAGGGAGCATCTGTCCGTCATGAGAGGAACCAAGGCCGACAGCTCTTCTTCCCTTCCCTTGATGCTTTACTCTCTTCCTTCTGGTCTTTTATTTCCTTCATTCCTGCCCACTTCTTCCTCCACCCTTTCGTCCCTACTTCCTTCCTTCTGTTTTCAGAGTTTCGAAACAGATCCATTTTTTGATTGTCAAAGCACAGTTTGGGGCTGCCCCTGACCCTTGGTGTTTGCTTTCTAAACACTGCTTCCTATGCCTTCAGTGAAAGCCAGCAACTCTTCCTTGGGCCCTACTTGAATTTCTCTGAGGCAGCTAGAGATCGCCCTGCAAGCTGGGGTTTTGGAGGTTAATGGAGTAACTGGACGCACGCTCGCACGAGTAACTCCATCAGGAAGACAGGGGCCGCTGCTGAAGGTGTTCGTGTCCAATCTGCACATGACTCGGCGTAGCAATTTACTCTTGATGTATGCAGTTGCACATTGTAATTATATTAACAGAGCACATTAATAAATAATTTGTATAAATTATATATATTAGATCTCGGGTATGGTTTTTACATTCTCCCATGGGGAACTAACTTGCTTCCTTGATGTGGAATTGTACATTTTAAAGCTTGGTGAGTGGCCTTCGCATACCGTGGATAAGCACAGTCAGAGGAGAGACACCAGGCCCAACTCAGTGTACACACTGGATTGGAATGAGGTTTTATGAATATTCATGTTTTCCGAAGGCCTTTAATTTCTGTCTGCATATTAGCTTTTAATGTGTGATTTGAAAAAAGAATACTTTGACACCTGTAAAATAAATCAAAATACTACCCTTTATATGACATTTCACAAATATTCACTTACATTACAGGCAGAAGGTATATTCATATGTATATTTATACCAATAAAATGATTTTACAAGTGGAACTTTGACCTTCTCTGGTCACTTATTTCATTCAGGTTGGCTTGTGCTGGTGAACTTGAGTTTCTTTGTATAATCTAGAATAACTGCAGTTCTCAGGTAATCAAACAGTCTGGGAACCAGTCCTGTCGAAGTGAGTGTGCCTGGCTAATTGCACTGCCTGCTGTCACCACTGGGAAAGGAAAGTGAAATGGGCCAGAAGGGTGTGCACTTCTGCGTGTAATCCAGATCCTGTCGCCGTGAAGGAAGGGTCGCTGGGGGATGCTGGAGGGAGTGAGTGGGTTTGAAGGGGGTCAGCGACGTTGTCATCTGTCGTCCATTAGAAAGAAGAGGCATAGAATGGGGCACTTGAGTGATGTGGCCGTTTCCCTCCTTCCTTCTCCCTTACCACTCCTCGAGGGCCAGCATATGAGCCACTGCCCATGATCTCAGAGGGAAGTTTGCATCTGCTGCGTGGTTTCCTGGCCACAGACAGGCACACGATTGTTTCCTACCAGTGTAGCTCTGCTGTCATCAGTGCTCGGGACCGGGCACCGCTGATGGGACAGAGATGTGTGTGTGATGGTGTGAAGAGCTGGCGGGTTGTGGGGAGCAGACTGTGACCCGGCTAAGCGTGTTGGAGCCCACACTTGGGGTAGGTGGTGCCGTGGTCCTGTCTGGGATGCTCAGGAAGCCTCTGAGGAAGAGGCTCATGTGCATGGCCTTGAAGTAATGTTTCATAAGCTCAGGGATTGTGGTGGCTGCCCGTCATTCTGCTTGTAAGTATATTTGTGACCCTTGCCCGGGGGCCCACAGAGAAGAGCAGGGAGCTAGAAAAGGGGCTCAGTTACTGGCCACTTGCAAGCCTACATGGTAAGCGGCACACCTGCCACAAACCACAGTGTCTCTGGATTTCAGCATGGAGCTGTTCTGGAAGAGAGGAAGGGAGAAGCCCCGACAGCAAATAGCCTTGCTGTTTTATTAAAGGGTTAGAACTGGACTCTGTGCCACAGGGGCCATTGCATATTTTTAATGTAATCAGAGAGAGGAGATAGAGCCAGAACTGGAGGCAGGTGCTGCAAGACATGGCTTGGCAGGAATCCTTAATCATCTCCCCCCTCTTCATGGGTACCAGAGAGCATTCTGGGAGTTGTGGCTGGTTGACGGCCTGCCGGTGCTGCTCTGCTGTGGAGGCTGTGGATGGCTGGGCAGTGAGAACCAAGCTGTTCCTGCATGGCACAGTACTTGTCTACCAGGCAGCCTTTGCCACTGGCCCTCCACCAGCCTGGCCGTGACTTTCCCAGAGTCACCCTGGAGCTCTTCCCACCCAAGCCTCGGTTCCTCCTTCCCAGTCTCCCTTTTCAGACATTGCCCCCAGCGAATCTGCAACCAAGCTGTAGCGTGGCATCTGCTCCTGAAGCAGAAGTGATAGGCTTCCCCACATCATGTTGCTATCAGCCAGTCTGGCCCAGTGAGGAGGAAATGTAGCTTCACAATGTGTGTCCGCTGAGCGGAAGGCTAGTGGAGTGTCCTCAAAGTGGGTGGGCTTTTGTATAGGTTTTACAAGGATGTGAGAGAGGAGTTACAGCGTCAGTCTATGGGAAAGATTCCCATAGGCAGAGGGGGCTGACATCCCAAGTTATTTTAAGTCCTCTCACACCAGATGCACTTAGACTCCTGTGACTTTTGTGAAGTGGAGATGAGGAGAAGCAGGCCCACGCTCAGGGACCCCACTGGGCAGACTGAATGATCAGGAGCCTGCAAGTGGAGCCAGAGCCCCCAAAGCAATCTGAAGACCCTGTAAGATGAGCAAAACCACCACTAGCAGGGATGTCGGCACCTTTGCATTATATGAAACCACAGATAATTTTGTAATTTGTATCATGTGTAAAGTCTAAGCGAGGGGATTCACATCCCATCTCAGGTACATGCAGCAGCAGCCAGATAATCCAGGAACCACCCGCTGATGTTTTTATTTCCTGGGTTAGCACTGATCGGTTTGGGTCTATGTGGCACAGGCTGTTGGTCAGACGTACATCAGGTAGTAGAGAGAAGCCCAACTGCAGATAGAAATCAGCCAGTAAGACTTGGGAAAAGGACAGTGAACGCCTGGCTCATCGGGAGGGAGAGGAGCCTGCTGTGGCAGGGCATGGTCACACCACCGACCCCATCCTGTGTTGGCTCTGTTGCCATGCGAGCCTGCTCCTCCTGTTGACTTCATTCCAAGGCTTCATTTGCTACACAGCACTGTATTTCCTGAGCAAATAACTGCCAATGGAGAGAAAACAGAGTGATAGGCTCTTTTGCAGAGAAGAAAGAAACAAATAATAAAAGGAAATCTCAGTAGGCAGAGCAGCCCTGGTTTTCAGCAGAGATTTTGGACCTGTCTTACATCCTAAGTGTGAAACTCCTAGAAGGAGAGGGCCTTGAGCAGATTTGTGTACGGCACTTGCCTGCTGGTTTGAGACCCTGTGAGGCAGTGCTTTGTAGCAAATCCTCACACGTCCCCCTTCACTGTGTCATGCGTCCCCGCCAGCAGGGACAGGAAGCAAGGCCTCTGCAGCTTGGCAGGTGGATGGAGGTGCTGACCCTCGGTTCCACACGCTCAGGCTCTTGCCCCTATCACCTCCCTGTTGGGCATCCTGCTCTGCCTGTTACAGAAGCTGTTCACCTGCCTAAGTTCCTGAGCACAGAACCAAGCCCATTGTCCCAATCCCCAAAACCCAGAGCAAAAAGGCGAAGTAGGAAAGGCAGCACAATGGAAAGAAGAAAAAGAATGTTCTTTTATCCCTCTCGTGTTGTGACATTTCCTTCATCTCTCCTGAGTTTTGAACTGTAAGTGAAGCTGTGTTTTGTGGCTGTCTGGCCCTTGTCTCTCCCGCTTCGCTGATGGTGCAGGCCTGAGGCTGGGCGAACTGTCTGCTCAGTGAGCTGCACCACTTAACACGGCAGCCTCTGCTGCTCCGGGCCCACACACCACAAGCTCGCTAAGCCTCTCCGGTCACTGAATGGGCCATCATGCATTTCCTGGGGCCAAAATAAAGGTGAGATAAGAGCTTTGTAGTTTTGTGTCACTTAAAATAATGGGAGAGTTGTGGGAATTGGACTCGGTTACATGGTCATCACTGGCCTAGAGCCAGGAGATCTGACTAGGTTTTGAAATGTTGGTGTCTGTCTGCCACTGTCACTCAGACACCACCAAAACGCAAAATGTGGAAGTATTTGAGACCTGCATACTGCATCTCAAGGTATCTTAGCCTTGGGTCAGAATTTTATCTTGTGTAATCATTACAACTTGAATTTGTAACTTCCTTTGCTGGGGCAGTTTTCATGGAGATTAAGTCTTCAAAACAACCTTCATCAAGATCAAGAGTTAGAAACTTGCCTTGAAAAAAGAAACTTGCCTTGAAGCTAGGGATGTAGCTCAGTGGTGCAGCAACAAGTGTGAGGCCCTAAGTTGATTCCCAGTACCAAAAAAGAAGCTTGCCCTCGTCAGAAATTTCTCGAAGTAGAGATAAAACGCGCTTCCTCCAGGGGCATTGTCATTGCTGTTACGGGTTGATGGCAATTGAATAGAACTGGGGGAATCTGTTTGTCTTTCTAATTACAGCTTGCATCACATCGGACACACACTGAGGCTGTAACCCTATATGCACCGCTCACACTGGGGTGTTCCGAGCATCCACACCCAACCACCACTTCAGGACTGGGTGCAACGCTGCACGTCCCCTGGCATAAGTCTCTTCTGACAGTAAAAACATACACTCATCCTTACTTTCCGGAGGTGTGGAGGAAAGAATTACTGTATCTGAAGGATGAAAGCACGGTCAGAGCAGAGGACACTGAGTTGCTAGCCATCTGGTCGTGGCGTCCTGGATGTAGAAAAACTAGGCTAGGAAAATGTGTCTGAGCTTCTAGTCATTGAAGCCTGCAGAGAATTCAGAGCTGAGCTGCAAAAGGATTCTTTCCTGAGTGTCCTTTCCCATGACAGTACACACACAAGAGGGGCCCTGCAGAAGAGAAGACAACGACACAGAGAGAAGCTGTCCTAGAGAGATGCTTAGACCAACCCCAGGGGTCCACAGGTTCTCCTCCTCCTTTGCGCTCAGGTCCTCAGCAGAGTGGAAAGGCAGCTGCTTCCACTTTTTGAGAGCAAGGAGGTCAGGTGGACACTGATGCTCCGGCAGCTTCACTCATGAGAGGCGGCGTGGCCAGCCCCAGGTGTCTGTCCTCTGTGATCCAGTTGCCGCAGACTGGCTGCTCAGGCACCATCACCTCTCCTATCACTTCTCTAGGTGACTTTATTCCCTCCCAAGGCCCAAGATCCCCCTCTTTGATGATGTCCCCCTCGCCTTCTGCCCAGTGTCTACTCAGTGCAATTACGATAATCCATGTGCACCAGAGACTCCCTGTGTCCAGTACAGACGACTCACAGGGAAAGTAACTAGGTAAAATGCCCAGTAACGACAGTCTTAAGATCCTAGGAGCACGCAGGGGCTCATAAGACTCACTTCTCCCTGGAGGCCACTGCCACCACCACAGCCACATCTTTCCAGTTCTATGAAGCAGAAATTGATCGTGGCCAGATGTCCCTGTGATTGCTTTTTTTTTCCATCCAGCTACATTGCTGGGGTTTCAGTGCCCCACAGAGGGAGACCCTGGCCTTTCCTCCAGGGGAGAGGGCAGAAAGAACCGTGGAGCTCCACGAGAGGCCTTTCGGTGATGTGCCTCTTCTGACCACTAATTTTCAAAGTACTGGACAGGGTCCTTCTGCAGGGCACAGGATGGGCAGGATTCAGTCACTTGTGAGCTTGGGGTTGTGATGAAAATAATTTTCCTTATCTCATTTGCATGTTAGTGTTTCCTTCGATTATGAACATTGTTGTCCCTCAGTGTCTGAGGAGGGCTGGTTCCAGTATACCTCTGCTCTTCCACGGACACCAAAGTCCACAGCTGCCTGCATGCCTGGTATAGTGCTGTAGTCCTCACGTATAACCTTTGCACATCCTCCTGCACCCTTTAAATC